GTTCTTGAAGTTCAAGAACATGGCCACACAGCCCGGAAGACCCACACCAGCCAAACATAATTCAGTTGGTATACCTCCTCCTCCTGGTGGTGGTGGGGAAGATGGGTTATAAAAATCCAGTCATTCGTACTCCAAGAAGAATGGAGATAAAATGCTAGCTACAGCTCTTCTCCCCCAACCTGTAACAAGGGGAATTAATTTGTAAGAAAAGAAAAGAAGAGAAACTTCCAAGGTACCTTGCCACCACCTCTCTGCTCCTTTAAAAGCCTCCAGATAAAGTGATGGCAGATCAGTAGTTTTGCAAGCAGCCATGGGAGAGCATGGGGAGTAATCTTATACAATGAGACAGAACTCCAAGAATAGGATGCTAAACTTGAGTTACAATAGGAGGTAAGAAAAGCTTAGAAGCAGACCCTGGATAAGTCTAAAATCTTCACCAGTAGAAGAATGGACTGCCCACAAGTGTCACAGAGCCATAGCATTTCAAAGCAGATAATAGTTTTGCTTCAGTTTCAAATAAACTGCATCAGAGCCAGGGGGGGGAAATTTTAAAACATTACACTATTATATGAGACAAGGTTGGATTTGGTTCCAGATTACAATGGAATGGACACAAATAGGTTTTTCCTCTCTGTTCTTCTTTTTTTCTGATAAAATATCATGTACGGAACATACCAATGACCATTGATACGAATAGTAATGTTTCTTGAAAATCAGCTGATATTCTATCAATACAAGCTCACAAAATTCATCACCAAAAACAGTAAGTGCTTAGCAAGTTTTCATAGCTGTTTATTCATTATAAATAGTAAATATTTACTGCGCTTTTTTAATATGAGACCTTTTTGTTTTTACAACACATGTGTTGTTGGTAGAGAATGTAACATAAAGATAGTATTTTGTTCAATCACTCTTTAAGACCAATGTGTGAGCTAAACTCTGTACGATATCCTAGTCCTACTAATTCACTAATTTCATTGAACTGAATGCTAAAGGGAATGTATTTGTGCTCTACCTCACTCACCGTTCCGAGAATAAAGAAAAATAAATAACACTGCCTGCCGTCTTCCTGTCCCTCCTAACATTTCAAAAGACAAATTTATTGACATTTGAAAATGTCACAACACAAAATGTATGTAAACCTTGATTTCTATTGGATTATATAGGATGCAACTGTATAATTTAAAATTACATGACAACTACAGAGACATAGTGATTTATGCCCTGCATTTTTTCTAGAAATAATGTAAACATAAGCATTTTAAATGTAGTATCTTCCCCAAAGAGTCCCTGTGATCTAATAAAATGGAGATCATCAAAGGAAACTGTGACACCTCAATATACTAAAAGAGTGAAATATGTACTGTAAAAATAAAAGTACTTGGAAAAAATATAATTTTGATTCTATATATAATGCCTTGGTTGCAGCCAAAGCTTGGTGAGGTACGCCATATTGCACATTGTTAAGCAGTCATAGAAATTAAAGTTATTCTGTATTTTTGCTTGTTTCTTCTAGGAGGTAACATGGACTAGGAAAATTTCACACACAAATCACCTTGTAAAACTTTTCTTCATGTTACAAAATATGTCATTTGCTGTTATGAAGAAAAGTCCCTTTGTATGTGACACTTAGCAACAACAGGATTACAAAAACAAGAAGATAACCAATAACTTATTTCCGGAAGTCTTCAAACATCTAGTCTAGCTTCCTACAGACTTTAAAATTTCCTTTCAAGGTCATTTTCCAGTGTGTTAAACAAGGTTCTTCAGCCCATGCTTTGCAAACTGGGCACTGTCAAAAGTTGGCATTGAAAGTTTTAAAACATGTTCTGAGTTTGCAGCATTCAGACTGTAGTGTCCGAGTTAATCCATGCATCTTCATCAACCTAAAAATGGAATGCTTACTTCAGCCCAGTAATTTGAAAAACTCAAATTATTATTATTATTATTATTATTATTATTATTCCCCATTATTGTTGTTATTTGTTTTTGCCATAGTGAACTGAACTCTTTGTCTTCTGAGCTGCTTTACCCAACATGTCCGAACACCTTATTGAAAGCACTGATGAGGAAAGAACGTAACAGTCCCATTTATCACTAGAATGATCTCTGCATTCTGGGCCTCATTTTGGTGAGAAGATTGCTCCATTCCAAATATTGGAGTGAGACCAGGAACAAGACCAGCTTTAACGTGAAGTGGACCATACACTTATGCAATATCTGGCTTCAGATAATGAAAGGCACCTGTGAAAAAAGAAGAAGAAGCATAATAAGCTTTTAAAGTCATGCTGTGACAACCTCACAGTAAGGGGCAGTGTCAACTACAGGTTGACATTGTCATATTTAATACTGATATATCAAAGGAAAGGGACTAATATGCTTATTCTTAGACAAGTTTGACAAAACTCTATGTATCTGGGATTATATACTATAATGATTCTTGAGCTGACCTCATTAAGAACATGTGTTTCTAATAGTGGAATGCCAGTGGTTATTTCATTTTGGACAGCCCCTCTGTTTTACCTAATGGCAATCAGGTTTCATGTCTCAACAATTAATAACATCAAGATGTTGTTGACATCACTTTAGAAAATAATTATGCAGCAGAAATGTTGCTGAAATAATCTACCATCATAGCAGCAAATGTGTCTACCTCTACAATAGGAAAAAAATGCATTTTATTTTTGTTTATTGCAGGCAAATATTTATGTCCTGTTTTATTACTAAAGATAACATGTGCCAAATATATGTTCTCTTTTACTTATGTGTGTGCATTTGGTTTTAATGGTTTGAGGAGCCTGATGACTCTATCAAGTTTTAATCAAGTTTGGTTTTTTAAAAATACGAAGTTTCTCATGTCTCTCAAAACTTACATTTCAGGATAACTGTATAATTCATATTGCTAAATATCAGTCTAAATCTGGCTACCCATCAGATTTTGCTGAGGAAGACATCATTTTCTTTCTTTTCCCAAGCTGTTGGTGAACTACAAAATTTTTCATCCCCCAAACAGTATGGAAGGCTGCTTAGAAGACAGCAAGGTCACTGAAAATACAGTAGTTTGTTCACCCCCACAATCATTAAAAGATATGTTAAGACAGCCTTCCCCAACCAAGTGTCCTACAGATATCCTGAATGTCAGTTCCCATAATCACAGCTAGAATAATCAATACTAGCTAGGAATGTACTAGCTAGGAATGATAACAGTTCATCCAAGTTATCTGAATGTGGCCAGGATAGGAAAGGATGGATTAAGGCATTGCATCCATGTGGTACAAACCAATGTCAGTGCAATTTTACTGATATGGAATGAAGGCTAAACTATGAGTGTCCACAGGGGAGGGGGTCAGGAAGGCAAATGACAACCTATGGATTACTTAACACAAATGCCATGACTTAAGTACTTGTTCAGATATCCTGACACAAGTATGTAATCACAATATTTGCACAATTATGTCATCATGTGTGTGTCACCATTTTGGCATCATCAGGTTTTCTGCAGATGTTGCTAGGTTAAACTGTACTTATCTGGTCATCACCATGTAGGGAGGTCTCTGACTAAATATAGTTGTCAGCCCAGAACTAATCTCCCACAGGTTTATGGCTAAATGTTTTTCATAAAATGGCCATATCCCACCTTTTGTCTAAGAGCTTAAGGCAGCATGCACAGTTTTCCTGCCTCCAATTTTAGCTCAACAATATCACTGTGAGTTTAGTTGTGACAGACAACCTAACCCTAAGTTACTCAGTTAGCTTCTCCAGCCAAGGGTAGTCTTGAACTAGGGTCTCCCTAGCCTAAATCAGCACTTTAAGTGCTATACCATCCATGACTCTGCTCATTGTTTGAATGAGACTCTTGATTGGTTAAAAAACAAAGTGCTTACCCCTCTAATAATGTATGACAAAGATAGGTTTCAGGAACACACATACATTGCCAATGACTTAATACTCACTTTGTCCATATTGCCCATACTGATAGCCTGGGACGGGGTCCATACTGTAACCAGTAGTGCTGTATGTTGGTGGGCAGTATGACTGAGATGTCGGCAGGCTATCTAAACTTTTCATATGATCTAGTCTTTGACTACAGCTTGCTGACACAGTGGTTGTTGGCTCTAAGCCCCCAGTTAATGGTGACAAGGCGTAGTCAGTTTGGGGCTGGTGAGGGACTCCTCCATGGTTAGTTAAGAGACCCATTACCTAAAATAAAAAAGAAAGGTGGGGAAGGGGAGGTTAAACAGCATGAAAACTATATCTGAAGGAATCCACAAGTTATTTTATTAATTCTGTATCTATTCCTTGATTTCTGATCTCTGATTCCAAAAAGAAATAGACATGTCACACAAGTTTAAATAATAACATATGACTGGCATTCTGCTCTAATACACAAACATATATATTATTTCATCTGAGAAAATCTCTTCTTCAGTTTTCTAATGTCTGATCATATGTCACAATGACTTTTTTATATGTAAACCAAAGCAAGCTTTCACCATGATTATTTTTAAAGTACTAATATTTAGTACCTTAAAATTCTATTATTCTACTCTTTATTACTCTGTAATAAAGAAGCAACATTGCTTTAATTGAGAGGATGGTTGAATGAAGCTGATTTTCCCATAAAAGAGTATATTTTGTTTTCTAGTCACATTGTGGGAGATGCCCTTTTCTTCCACTATAAACCTAGCAGCAGATTCTGGAAGCGTTCCAAATACACGATGCTTTACTATGACTCAGTAGTAAGCCGTGAGCTGGGAAAAAAAGTGTTGTGAGGAAAAATAGAGCCAAATTTGGTCACAGGTAGCCTTCCACAGTACCCAAACTGTGAAAACCAATGTGCTTTCTGATTAACATTAATGTTGTACATATTATAAGACAGATACAAACCTCTCCAATATTTTATGTTTTACATGACAAAGAAACAGTGAGTACAGGCTTTCTGGCCCCAGTCTCTTGCTTCCCATCCTTGCCCGTTACCATACACTGCAGGCAAACAGGCTTATCTTTTGCCAACACAGTCCTCTAAAATGATACAAACTAAAACAGCACCAGAAAAGAAAAGACAGCACCAAATCTAAGCTACAATTTTCTTTAAACTTGATTGAGAAATTATGGCTTTAAATTTACAAGGGAAACTAAAACCAGTTGTAAGATCAAAGATAGTCAAAAGAACTAGAAATGCCCTGTTGAGGTTCAAAGAGAGATGTGTTTGGTTTGGTTGTTTTAATCAACAACCTCCCAAACATTTAAGCAGCAAACGTCATTAGCTGTAGTATATTTGTATTACTCTTGAACATTGAAATTAAAATCCTTTTTATTAAATCTCTAATGTGCACTGCAAGGCCTGTATATTGTGTACTTTGTGAAGCACTGAAATATGTATACACACATACATACACACACATGCAATATATACAAACACAGAGAGAGAGAGAGAGATTATCATAACATAACATAACAACACATGCATTATCCTGCCACAGCATTTCTTAAACTTTTCAAGACCATGGGACACTTTTGTTTTTGTTTTAAGTGAGGGACACTGATGACTGTTTCTTAAAAGACAAAGAAACAGAAACTTTAGGCCAGACAACATGATGGCCATTAGTGGGAGGTTTGAAGGGGGAGCACTCTGGGCAGCTGAAGCCAACTTGCTACATCTCTACTTCCAGCTACCAGCCAAAGAATGACAGCAGCAAACACAGCGGGAGCCAGCAGATCAAGCACTGGATGATCTTCATTGAGGAACCAGACAAAGCAGAGCGCTGTCCCTTACAGGAACCTAGGCCTTTGATGTGGATGTGCTGATCATGCATTGCTAGAGGTAAAGGTCTGGAATTTGTGCAAAAGAAGGCCAAACACAGGAGCTGAAGAGACACTATCTACTTGGAATGGGTAATTGCATGGCATGATGGGAGACTTTGTGCTACAAGTATAAGTGCTGACCACAATTTTGGCCATGGGTTTAATTGTGCTGCCCAGCAGAGATTGACTGTAAATGCTAGATGCCCTTGTCTTGCTGGCCATATGCCTGGCCATGCTGCTCCTTGATTCAAGGAGCTGTGGTGGCTGCACAATAGGGCTGTCCCAGTCATTGCCAAGGTAATTTAATACCATCCCACAATTTATAGCACCTTAAGTAGGGAATTCTGTATGAGTATAGAAACCATTTCCATTGCACTGAAGTGACCAGACACCTTGCTTTGAGTTGCTACTCTGCTGCTCTTTGTGGGGTCATGGTGGGGCTCTGCAATTTCTCACAGATACATTGAATCACCTCAATAACAATTTGCACAGCCTTAGATGTGCAACAGCAATTTGCAGGCCAGGTAGAAGCAGGCTCAATTATTTTTGCAAATTCACACCTCCACATTTTCTGCAAAACATACTTTCCTAACATATGTGATAATGTAATCACAACATATGTGATTACTGTACAGTTTGCTTTTACTGGAAATTGATTTCCACAGCGCATTTTAGATTACCTTCTCACATATTTTTGTTTAATTGAGGTGAACAAAACTTTAATCAAGTGTTTGTGTTAGCTTTCAAAGTAACTCATATACTGTATAGATGTCACTTATATCAGATATGCAGGAAGTAGGGGAGTGAGAAAAACAAAATGGAAGTGTAGATCGAGATAGAGAGGACACTCCTCTTCAAGTCTCATTTTATGGAGATATTTTTCGGCTTGCTCACTCGCTTTCCTTTGGTTGCATGATGTGGATGAGTAAGGGAATTTACATAACGCCAAACAAGTCTAAGGCTGTTTTCTACTAAAACTAATTTGCTTTAGCCTCATTATGGTGTTGGCATGACAAAGCAACCCTGCTCATGACTCATGTATCCAAAACTGGGGAAAAAGAGAAAACATTCAAAGTCTGACTTAACATTTACATGAAAAATGTAAAATCTTGACATTATTTTCATCCAGCCTTTAAGATTTGTCTGCAACCTAAAATACACATTGTTTATCATAAAGCTAGCATTGTTCAATGAAACAAACAAAGCTAAATGTTTCATTTATGGGATATAACTGGCTTGGTTGTCTCGTGACAAAATTGTCTATATAAGAAGGTGGTAATAAAAACAAACAAACAAATGTCATTAACAGAAATAGTAAAATCCTGCTCCTATTCCTTCCAGTGTAGCAGCTCTGGGAACTAATTAATGTGATTGTTTTTAAAAAATCAACTAAATCCAATGATTGAAGGTAGTAAATTAACTTTATGAATTCAACAACTATTTTCCAAACTTACTACAACTATTGAATATGAACAGGCTTGCAACATTTGGGAAGGGTTTTTGTTGTTGTTGCTTGTTTTGCTTTTTTTAAGAAAGAAAGAATAAATGGCATTTGTAGATTACTTTGAAATCTTTTGGAACTGCTGGAAGCTATATACCAACTGCTTGCATTTATATCATGTAATGCAAAAGTTTCTATGGGGCAACTCACAAAATTCCACTGATTTTATAATGGGATTTATTCCAAGTTTAGTAAGGCTGTAGTCATTGAGTGATCTCTGGTGATTTTTCACTTATGGTGAAGGTCCCATGGAAAATTTCATCTACTCAGTGTGGTTCTAACTTCCCTAACTTCTAAAAAATACACACCACTGTCTATATTATCAGCTAACTGTGTTTCTATAGCTTTAGAGAAACTGAAGCTATGGTAATGCTAGTCTCATCACCTTCAAGACTCTTATCCAGATGGAATCTGTCCACCCTACACAATCTGGCTATCTATAGAGCAAGGTTCCTCAACCTCAGCAACTTTAAGATGGGTGGACTTCAATTACTAGAATTCCCCAGCCAACATGCTGGCTG